CTTTGCCTCGCGTTGGTCCGTAGTTAATTAATATAAATAAATAGAAAATGATCCAATTTATCGGAATGGCTGCAGCAGGTTCGATAAAACCAAACTTGTGATAATTAAGCTTAACATTTCCGATGCCGTGACCGCTTTTCAAAGTAAACGAATAAAAACCCAGCACATTACTGAAACAATTTTGTGTCCCAATGCAATAAACGCAACAAGTTTTTTATGAGCTAACGTCGGCACCAATTTGTTAAAGAGTGCACCCATTTCAAAAGTTGCGGCCATGGAAAGTTTTAGATCCAAGTTTCGAATTGCTGCGGCCTTCATATATTATTTGGGCGTAAAATGTATGATTTTTTTCCCCATTTGCGTCTGTTTGTAATGCTCGAAGCAAGTAGTTCGAGGTGAGTTTCTTCCAGAATGAAACTCTTTTTTCATTTAGAAGGAAACTCTTTTCAAAAGTTGTTGGGGAAATTCGCAGGACAGAACTGCATCTTTCTGCCACTTTTGGCCAAGTTAAAGTTAGTGTCGTGTGAGTGGGCATTGTGAGGTACGAGGCATGTACGTATGAAATATACAAGTAAAAAATATTACTCAGTACTCACTGCAGTGAGTGACAGAGAGCGCATTTTCTCGTCGACGAAAACGTGAAGTCACGGAAGGACAGACAGACGGACAGACGAACATGGCGAGCACAATAGTGCATTTTTTTCATAAATGAGAAAATGCGCAAATATTTACAGGAAGAGACTAGCAAGGATTGTTGGTATGAATGGTAAGCATATGATTTACGGTAAAAGAGAAGAGGAAATTAATAATAAGAATCATAAGAATTTATTTAATATGAATAAGAATTTTAGGGAAGTTAATACTAAAAGATTCATGGTAAATTAAATGAGTTGTGTGGTGAGGAAATAAACTCCAGGCTAGCTGCAGACAAAAAGGCTAAAAAATGTGAGGAAAATTCCGCTAAATTAATTATCACTAATTAAGAGCACAGTGACGCACACCTATCTCCTACAAACACACAGCGCTCTAATGAGGTCAATTTGTCCCGCCCCTCAAGTCCACTTACAGGAATTATCTGAACTTGAGACTGGATACTCGACTGGACTGGAGATGAATTACCGCCTCCAGGCCATTGATTCTCCTCTGCCATTTTAATCTCGTTGTGCCAGGACAACAGTGCAGTCACAAAAATGAATGGGTTAGATTGTCAAAATAACGATACACTTGGTGGTCGTAGCATAGATGCGTCTTCCTTTCGTGGAAGACTGTGTCAGGATGACCTGCACACGAGCAAAAAGTGCATCGCTATTTGGACAAACTGCATCTCATTACTGTGAGTGCGAGGGATCGGGGCAGAGCATTGCAAACGAGACTACAAAGCAAGGTGGTATATACTGAAAAAAATAATAAGGTCATGGTCCTGACATAGATTCAATTTTTGCACTTGTATTGATCATCCTGACCCAGCTTGGCCGGGCATAAGAGGCGTCCAGTATCTGTAAAAAATTATGCCACCTTATGGACATTATTATGCATTGTTTTATTTGAGTGTAGTTTCATGTTAGCTGCATTCAGCTACATATTATCTCCTTATATTATCATCTCAATTCATTGTTCTGAAGTTGTAATTATTTTACAAACAACATTCTTTCTTGCACAATTGGTTTTCTGAACAGAAACTAATTCTTCAGATGCAGAGTATTCACTAACTTGTTGTGATTAGCTTGGAAATTTGTTTCATTCGGTATATTGATATGTCATTCGGACAATCGGTTTTCTTGTGATCAAATTCCTCAGTTGCCAATTAAATCGTACTTTACTTGATTTCTCAATTTTTTTTTTCATATGCTTAAGCAGAAGTCAAAAGATTTTCTGCCACAGCAATGTGCTTTCAACAGAATTGAATCACAATCGTAAATTTATGTTTTAAATTGCAAACATTGCAAAGATTCATCTGACAATTTTTAACTGTTGAACAAGAGGGCGATAAAAGCACAAGCGGTACATTATTTTTTATCGTGCTGCTATTTTTGCAGTAATATTTGCCTTACAAATTTGTTTCGGATATTATTTTCGCTATTCATAAGACAATTCTGAAGTTTATTGTAGAATCTATCGCGCACAAAAGCTTTGAGAAGAGTCAGCCCAGAGCGGAGTTATGCTTCTAAGAAGATTACTTTAAAGGCAAAAAATCCATGCCTGTTGCAAGCGTCTCCACACTGCGAGAAATGAAAGCGACTTGTACAAATAATGATGCATCTTCTGCTCTTTTGTAGGTCATCTTGGCCCAGGTTGGTGCAGAAAGAACTCGTATGTCATATATATCATCTACTTTTCTTTTTTTATATTATTATATTTCATTTTTTTATTAATTTTTATACATTTTTTTATTTTATGTTGGTATTTTATATGAATTTCAACTATCGGAAATTATTTTTCCAAACTAAGATATCATCAGGAATCTGATGAGAGAAAAAGATCCTCTGAATTTTTGAGTCCATGTCTCTGCCAGCTATTTGTTAGCGGAAGTGCGAATGCTCGGGAAGTTTCTAATTTATTAGTGAAATGATTCAGAAGTTAATCGGTTTAGACGTGGCTTCATATTTCCTTCATAGATTACATTTTAATACATTGTGGCGTGTGCCTTGCATTGTTTTCCGTGTGTCTATGTGTGAATTACTTTCGTTTCCTTCTTGAAGCAAATATGTGTAAAGTAATGTGTAAATACATTAATTAAATTCTAAAATGATGAATGAACGCAGCTGTGAATCACGAGTTAATGTTGCTCCCTGGAAAATAATGGGTCCTTTTGTTCAAATAATGACACTTTTTAAACCTAGCAATGATACATCTATTGGCCAGGATCAAACTGGGTCAGGGTGACTCACTTGATAATGCTGGATTTCATTGCCATGTCTTTGTACTAATTTCGATTGGCTGCAGCCACTCATCACTCACAGAAATGAGTGAGACTTCGTCCAAATAGCGATGCATTCCTTGCTATTTTGTGGGTCAATTTGACCTAATTAAGCTCATCATCAGGTCGTATCAGTGCTACGTGCAGAAAGTGAGTCATATGACCCATTAATTATTGTAATTAATTATTTTAATTAATTATTAAGTAATAATATTACATTAGTGTTAACTAGGATCAACCACGCCCTTAATTGAGATACGTTTGGTCGGAACTCAATGCTCCTAGGGGCTGCGGGTAAACTAATTAAACTAATTAGTTATCTAGAAAGTTAAAGAGTTTGGGCAGTAGTTAGGCAGTGAGACTAAACGATCACTCCAAGGACCCATGAATTTCTTGAATATAGTCGATCTTAAAATAGTGTTAGTTTATCGGAACGCTGTACTGAATTACAATGATAATTAAAAGCCAGTCGAGTTAATGATTTTAAATATTGATTAAAATGTCAACAATTAATCGTAGAAAGATACTATTTCGTGTTTGATTAAGTATTTTCCTCGTACATTAATGAATATTGTTCTGTTTTAAAGCCAAACGAGAGGTTAAATAAGAAAAATCTTTAGGAGACTCGTTGAAAAGTTAATTTTTCCTGTATGATTAAATACTTTCCTTTCAGTTCTTTGCTGTTCAAAAAGCGCAACGCTTCTTGTGCTGTCTGTCAGTGAAGACGTCGGAAATTCGCAGGACGACTTTAACGCAACTAAATGAATATTGTTACAGAATCATGTGAAACTTCACATCTCGCCTGATACAGTGAAGTCGTCCAACTAATTGACAGCAAAATAATAGCGAGGAAATTAAACTTGATCTAACAAACTAGATTTCCAAGGCTTCGTCATTGTTTAAGTGAAACGTGTTACATTTTCTTTTTTATCTCTTGTAAATTCACTTTGTGATACTTTATCACTTGTTTTGTATCACAAAAATCATAACGTAACAGCCTTTATGTAACGTTTAAATTCAACTTTACTTTATATCACAATTTAATTTGAAGATAATTTTACTATGCGTGTATTTTTTTAGAATTTGTATTCGTCAGTGACGATGAAAATGTTTTAATATCGGTAATCATTATCTTCTTTCACTTGATTAAATTATCTAACCTTGTTGACCCTGATCTAAACGGCGAAAATAAAATGTATTGTACTATAATACTCAGAATAAGAATAATAAACAAAACTGAAATCTTGGCGAATGAACTGTTTTCGTTTGAAATGTTAAATTTCTTTCTTGAACATTATTCTCATTTGAGTGAAATACAGTTCTAGTTGTTCCTTTTTTGTTTGAGCAGCACCAATTACCTAACGATGATTTCATACATCCATGAAGCCATTATCCAACTAACCACAATCAAATTAAAACATGTGACATGAGGCGGTTTTATCATGCTCAAGTTCTGACTGGAATTGCAACAACTTGATATGATAAATACAATGTTTCCCTGAGTATTAATTAACCATGCACTGAGTGATGTGAGTGTGTGTATGTACAGAGCCATGAATCGCGTTGCTCCTCACTTTTTCAACACACACACACAACATTGACGTGCATAATTGACGTGCATCAACACACAAACAACGTGCATAATTATACACGTTTTACAAACTCAATTCAAGTGTACTCATATTCTGTCAAGGAAGCGACTACGGACTAAGCCATAACAATTGTAGTTATGAAGAATATTTCCTTAAAGAAGACCTTAAATTCTAAAACACGTACAGTGGCTAGCGGAACTAAACTGCATACAAAGCAATACGCTAAGTGAGGCACCGGGCTCGAGGGCATGGCAATGCCGGAGCTTTGAGGTCTCTTCTGTCGGTCCACACAGCACCGCAAGTTTACCTAATTAAAGGCCCTAGCGAGCGCTGTTAACGGAATTATGTTGCTACACAAAGGATGCTCACACACCCTTAGTGTCGGCATCAAACACAGTGAGCATGAGCTCAACCTTGCCACAGTTGTGAAGGGATGCGCAGAGCTGTCCGTTGTGAGCAATTCTGACAGACATGGCAACTGCAGCCACGTTTTATGAACCTTGAAATGTGGAGTAAATTGTGAACGGCATCTTTGTTCTGTGAGGCGGGGTGAATAGCATCTTGGACGTGCGAGGCGGGGTGAATAGCATCTTGGACATGCGAGGCGGGGTGAATAGCATCTTGGTCATGCGAGGCGGGGTGAATAGCATCTTGGTCATACGAGGCGGGGTGAATATATGTAGCATCTTGGACGTGAGAGGCGGGGTGAATAGCATCTTGGACGTGCGAGGCGGGGTGAATAGCATCTTGGACGTGCGAGGCGGGGTGAATAGCATCTTGGACATGAGAGGCGGGGTAAATAGCATCTTGGACATGAGAGGCGGGGTGAATAGCATCTTGGACATGAGAGGCGGGGTGAATAGCATCTTGGATATGAGAGGTGGGGTGTATAGCATTTTTGGACATGCGAAATTAGGTGACTGGATTATTCCACACGCGAAGTATAAGGGGAATGGATTCATAGTAAAGCAAGGTATGATTCACGGTTTCACAGCTATGCAATGTATATGGATTCACAATTAAGTAAGGTATGATTCATGGCTTCATAGCTATGCAAGGTATGTTGCATAGCTTCAGAGTAATGCGTTTTAAGGTGCATACATCCACATATTCGATGGTATGGTACATAGCTTCACAGTTGTGCGAGGTATAATTGGGTTAATCACCTCCTGAGCTCATCCTCGATGAATAAATGAGGTGTCAGTGGCGCAAGAGTTCCTAAAACACCGCCTTCATGGCGTCTATACAGAGCAAAAACCCTTGGTAATGTCTCTCTTGTTGTGGAATCAAGGCATTGTGTGCTTCTTTTCTAGCCGTCATCAGCAACTGAGTTGCGATCTTAACTGGCATCATTAGTATATTGTAGTCGAGTTAAGAATAACGTGATGTTTTGTCGTAACATAAACATTGAAGTTAAAGATATCAGATGCTAAAATGTTATCTTAACTGGCATCATTAGTATATTGTAGTCGAGTTAAGAATAACGTGATGTTTTGTCGTAACATAAACATTGAAGTTAAAGATATCAGATTTATCTTAACTGGCATCATTAGTATATTGTAGTCGAGTTAAGAATAACGTGATGTTTTGTCGTAACATTAACAATGAAGTTAAAGATATCAGATGATAAATGTGAGTAATTGTGCTCTTTGATGCCAATCGTCTATGCTATTTTTGCGACTTTTTGGATATCGGAAAAATGAAATAAAATTTTTAGTATGAAGATCAAGTAGTTAGATAGAAATGTTCAAGACCATCAGACAGTTTTTCGAGGCATTTCAAATACATTATCAAACAATCATGCGCTTTTATTCTATTGTCACTTAACTTATTCAGAAAAAAATTCAAATTGTAATACTTAAATCTTCACATTAATGAAGTACCTACTGTGTAATTTGTTAGTTTAATATTTAATTTTTATTCCTCCCAGCGCATCACAAAGACAAGCCTGTTCCCTGAAATTACTCATATGTGATTAATTCAAGCTTCACTATAGCATCAAAACAACATGGGGCGCTTCGTAAATGCGCCAAGTAAAGACGAGCAGTTTACCTTAATTAGCCATTCGAAATGTAAACGACCGGCCCACGCATATTGCAGCGGCGCCGGTATAAGAGAGCTTGAAAAAAAAAGATTTTCAAATTATTTATCATCAATTATTCAGCCCGAGCTTTGAAAATAAATTTGAAAATTTTTTTATTGATTCCGTGTGAATAAAATTGTAATCAATCACAGTATTTCTGCTGCTTGGAAAGAACTGGGTTCGAAATTAGTTCTGATTTCGAGAAGTCGACGTTAGAGTCAATGCTGATCTGCGGGCATCATGGTTACTAAAATTTCTTGTTACTCATAGTTGATACCCAAATTATTACTCATAATTGGTTCCTGAATCATTCATTCAGGAATTACAGTTAATACTCCAGAGCGAATGCTACATAAGTGATGATACCGAAGAGATCATTTTATTGAATCAACTGATATAAGGCAGCAAAAATTTTGACGACGGAAATATTTTAACTTCAAAATTAAAATTCACATTAGTTTTTATTTGTCTAAATTTGCGTATATATGAAAGTGCCGATTAATACTTATAAATACATATAGAGAATAAAAAATTGCAGATTTGTCAAAAATACTTCAGCAAACTGTCATTCATACTAACAATTAATGTAATTCGCGCCCCGGAGCAATAATTAAAATTATTTTTTAAGAAAATCTACACTAGGAATCCATGAGGACGTGGCGGGAATCATTTCTCGATAGTAAAGGCGTTCCGAAATTAATTTCATATACAGTTCTATATTTGAGTGTACATCTTGAAAATGACTTTAAATTACATCAGATCGCAATTTCCAGATGACTGGCAGATATTTTCCAGAATCAGGTACATGATTTTGTATAGTAAGTTCGAATTATTTACAAGTGCAACTTTTTGGTCAACATGATATCCTGGTAAGTCATTAATTTGTTTACAGCCGAGATCATTAAAGCTCCCGAACCCAGAGGCGCTACGCCCATGGCAAGGAAATTGAAATAATCGACTAAGTTGTAGATGACATAAACAAGTATCACGTGTGTGCTTAGGGGCTTACTACACCAATTATATATATATTCGGACTATAGGTCATAGGATCGAGGTGGTAAAAGAGTGGTTTACATGTTAAATAACATTTTTATCGATGATTATTATAGGATCGAGGTGGTTTTACGTGTTAAACTATCTTATTCATCTATCCAGGGTTGGTTTACATGTTAAAATAACATTCTATCGATGATTATTATAGGATCGAGGATCTTTTACGCGTTAAACTATCTTATTTATCTATCCAGGGTTGGTTTACATGTTAAAGTAGCATTTTTATCGATGATTACTAGCCAAACTTAAATATCTGTAAGCCAAGTCAGTTTAATCAAACTCGAGAAACTGAGTAAATTGTTTGCAAACATACGAGTGTCGAAATGCCAATACCGGGTAGACCTCAAGAATTTGAAGGCCGTGTATCGGTAGAACAATTATTTGTCGACAAAAAAAATTGCAGCTGCATCCAACAGTGAAAATATTTAAACTGCACGGACAAAATTTTGTATTCATGACTTGAATTAATAGAAAAAATAAGAAATAAATTATGTTTGAATAAATCAATGTGATCATTTTCACTTAGATTTCTAAAAAAGCAATTTAGCAATTAGTATGGGTGAATTAATTTTATTTACATAAACAATTAGGAAAAAATTAACTAATCAACAGAAAGTTTTGAAATCATTTTTAAATAAGATTATTTTGATAAAAACTATTTCATTAAAGTAGAACAGTTGAAGGTAACTACAATATTATTAACAAAATTTTTATCCAATTTGTAATTCCGCCATGAGTATGTTACGCGAGGTAACCTTCAAAAATTCCTGGCGCTGGGGTTTATTCACCCAACCCACATGACCTGCATGAACCCTTAAGTTATTCATAACTGAAAATTTGAATGTCTTCAATTACAACCTGGACCTGAAATAGCCCGCAAGTCAGCAGGGAAATCAAAGTAAAGGAGCAAAGCCCAGATATTCTGGAGCTCAGTGGAGCATCATTTGCATGCCGTCCATATTTTATTCCACTATTTAATGTGTTTGAAATCTTGGATGATAGGGAAGAACACATTTTTTGTAAGATTTTATGTTTTTTCGGTCATGAAATTTCACTATTTTATTTTTTCGTTATTTGTCTCACCTTTAGTGCAATTTATTATTGCTTAAAAAAATTATCATATTTATTATTCTGAATGATTCTTAATTACAGAGTTTTTGATAATTTAATTTCCATTTTCGTTTAATCATAATTCATATTTCTGTCAATATTTTATGTTACTTTTAGTTTTGTGGTTTTCCAGAAATGTGCATGAACTTGATGCAAAAAATGCCATTTATTGATTATGCCATTTTATCATGCAAATAAATATTCAGTGACTCTTTGTATTATAAATTCAAACAAAAATTCAAAAAGCCTAGTCGCCCATGCATGATCAAGGTGGAATTATCCATCGAGATCATCAGTCGAATAATGTAGTACAGCTGCCACGGCTTGAGCATGAAGTTCCTGGACAATTTTTCTGATCCAGAAATTTACATGGACGCTAGTATAACAGATGCTCTCCATCATCACAGTTTGAATGATAATGAACTGTTAAAAGATTCTGTGCATTACTATGCATATTGGTTAGTATCCTGCGTAAATTGCAGATGATCGTTAAAAATTTTCTTGATGTTGTCTACATGTGTGTACAGTGTATATTACCGCCTGCATGTTGGTGACACAATACGCAGCCTATGCACGTTGCATATATCATATTCAAAACAAATGCAGTTTGAGCCGAAGAACCATTGTTGATTGTTCATAACATAACATAACATAACATAGTGATGTCGGCGCTGAAGTGTAGGCCTGATGTGGCCTGTCGCAAATTCTTTTCCTTTTCGTGCCTTGTTCATAGATCTAAACTCGTGCCATTTGACCGGATCTTTTCATGACTGACGATAGTTTGAAGTAGCCACCTAGACTTCCACCGGTTTCGATAGGAGCTAGGCATTTCAAATCTGAACATATATTTTTCCATAGCTTTATCTAGTCTGTTCTTGAACGCGTTCATACTTGGAGCGCCAACGATGTCATTGGGGAGGCTGTTCCACATGTCGGTGATTCGAAGCGAGAAGAAATTTTGTCGCATGGAGAAGTTGCAGCGCAGTTTTTTAGCTTATAGCCGTGGCCCCTGGTGTTGGTTCTTGTTTCAAATTCTAGTAACCCTTCAGAGACCTTGTATAGACCATGAGTATACTTGTATACTTCAATGAGGTCCCCACGCAGACGTCGATAACTGAGGCTTGGAAGCTTCATAATCTTCAATCTTTCTTCGTAGGACTTGTCCTTCAAGCCTGGAATTATCCTTGTTGCACGTCTTTGAACATTCTCTATTAAATTTCTGTCCTTTTCAAATCTTGGTGACCACACAACGTTTCCAAACTCTAGACTCGGGCGTACGACGGCAACAAACAACTGCTTCATCGTTTCTGCATCTAGGAACGCGTATGAGCGTCTGATTAGTCCAAGAAGTTTGTTGGATGTGTTAGCTTGCGATTCGTTCAAGGTTTTTTGAAAGAATACTGTTAATGGGCCGGCCAGAACGGTTGCTAATTCTTTGAGCAATCTGGGATGGAAACCGTCTGGTCCACATGACTTGTTGGGATTTAGAGCTACCAGGCGCTTGAGAACCTCTTCTTCGTGTATTTCAAAGCATGTTAACTTCGAGCCGACTGGGCGCTCCTCAATATCTGGAATACTGTTCAAGTCCTCATCTGTGAACACACTGCTGAAGAACTGATTAAGAATGTTAGCCTAGCCCTCATCAGAGGA